TGGGAATGCCATGGTGCTGCTGCTTGAGCTTTTAATTTTAATAAAGATTTACCTCTGAGCATGTTGTTCGTTGTGAACTTGGTACAGCCCGCTAGCTGAACGTTGGACTGAGTATCTGAAAGGACAAAATGTAAATCTTATTGAAACAATTTAATAACTGTGCAGCCTGCGTAGTGAAAGAATTTTACCGTGATAAAATAGACTGTGCCATGAAAGCATATAGTTAAAACTTCTAGTTAAATACTTCTCTGTTATTTTTTTGTTATTGCTATTTTTAAGTTGGGTGGGGAGTGAAATTTGGTTAATCAGGCAGAGAAACCACATTTGATTCATTAGCTCCCTTGATAGTGCTTTGTGATAATGCTATCTTGATTTGGCACTGAACATGTGTTTTATAGTGTGTTTTCATGTGGCATTGAGGTGACCATTGTAGAAATACATCATTTAAACAAACACCAAAAGGGGATTTTTAGAAGAACCATAGAATAACCATTCCCCAAAGATCCTTCAATAAACTGTTCCTAAAATAACCATTTTAATAATCTCACGAACATTTTTCAACTATTAAGAATCTTTTGTGCAATAGAAAGGTTCCATCATGGATGTTAAAGCTTCTCCATGTAACCAAATACCAATAAAGAACATTTATTTTTTTAAAGTTTTAAGACCATAAAACCAGAAGAATGTATAAACAATTCCAACATTTTAGACAACAGATAATGATTTCAGATCGTCTTCCCTTTTAAAATACAGACCTTAAGATTACAATACAAGTTGTTCTTGATGGAGATACTGAGTTTTAGTACTGCGTTATGACTTGAATTGCATGATAAATCGATATCTTTTGTGTAGCTATACTACTTATATCAGCAGTTTTGTTTAATAATGTGTTCTTCTTTCTCTATATAAACATGGCTTTTGGTTTCACAATTGCCTGTTCTGCTCTTGTGAGATGCCAAAGGATATGTTCATCCCACGGGTAAAAGCTGTCATAGTGCAAGGGGAGTTGAGAGTTGTGGTAATACTTGTGGACTAATCTACTGAATATAAACAGGCCCGACTGTACCGCTACACAACTTCTTGCATTTTGACTGTCAGCATTCTTGTGTTGTCCATAACTGGATGTAATATACGTTACATGTTGTCTGTCTTTTTAGCAAAGCTGTTATGAATGATTTTACCCAATAATCTAATGGTCCGTTTAACAAAATGTCAAAATGATTGGGGTATACTTTACATACTTCATCTCTTTACATTAGTGATCAGCTCTGTCATGTCAAGCGGTAAATTGAACCAGTGGGCAAAACATGAACAATTTACATACCCAAAAGGTAAATGTTGTTTATATAAAAAAAGAAAATGATAATAATATAATAAAATTCTAAATATTGTCACATTTTCACATTGTGGTTTTTATTAAATGTTTTTGAAACATTATCGAAAAACAAAACAAAAATATATTGTCATATTGTCATGACAAATTGTTCAGTGTTTAATTTATAAAGGGTGATTCTAGTGACAAGAAAAATGGCGAAGTAGCAGTCTAACACAATGAGAGATTATTCATGATCAACATTCATAATGTCATAGGCTGCTTTCACTCAAACTTGCAGTATGGCCAAACAAACAGCGCTACTGTTTGCTATTCTGTTTATCCTCAATGCTAATGCAGGGAATTCCGTGGCAAGTAGTTCGGAAGTAATATGATGAGAACAAAGAGCTAAAGAATGCAGATTCCTAATTAACAGTAGAAAATAGCAAAAGTAGTGTATAGGGCCAATGCAGTTTAGCAAAGTGCATGATGCTTTTGGAAAAAAGCTAGGGCAAGAGGGAATCAGGAAATGTGCTTGTGTTTTTGTAGCCCATTACAGGAAGGTGCACCAATCTGTGCCTGACAGGCTGATGACGACTGAGCGAGGTACAGTAATCTTGCGTGCATCATTGTTTTTTTTTGTACAGGTTCCACTTCTGCTTCTCAGATAATCAACTGTTCTGTTTGGTGGTCTAAAAATAGATTAGAAAGATGTCCTAATTATTGCAGTTAATTGTGTTACAATGTGAAGAGTTTTTATACAATGATGACAACAGACTCTTTATGCTTAAAACAATCAAAATTATGGGATCACAGGAGTTGGTTTAAATCACTTTGTGAAATCAAATCCAGCTATTATAATCTATCAAAATGCTTTATTCAGCTTCTTATACCTGACTCACATTGACTCCATAGGTGCATAAAGTCTGGAAAATTCTCTTCGTAATGCCAAATGTAATTTGATGGAGTCTGATGGCAGGCCTGCGGCTGACTCCCCTCAGATGTGGATGGCAAACATAAAAAAGAAAGCCCTGGTTGCAGTCAGGCTGCCCAAGAAAGGGCTGAAAGGCCTGTAATGATGAAGAACCTTTCAGAGGAGGGTCTTTTAACTTACATTACAATGATGGACGGACCAAGCTTACTGGGAAACCGGGGACGCAGCGTTTTAGGAGCACTTCCGTTGGTTCCCGTGCTTTAGCGAACATTATTTGTTATATTTATGTTTTTTATATAGGTTTTATTGATTTGTTTTTGAATTTCATTGTGTTACTATGGTTTTCCATTGCATATTTTTGTTGCATTTCAGTTTGTATTTGCTTTTCTTGTGATGCTATTGATCATTACATAAATTAATTTCACAGATGAGGTAGCAGGATTGACTTCAGGATCATGTTTATTCAGGAACTGAATCAGGCTGCAACAAGATAGATAAGACCATTGTTGTAGTGAAGGCTTTGTAGTACATGCTTTTATGTCAAGCGTTCTTTGATGCAACCACTGAAAAGCTTTTATGCAGCAGAGTTTGCTGATGCACTAAATGTTCAATTAGAGATAAAAGCTTGTAGTGTTTGGAGACACATGTTTGCATTCAGCAGAACTATCTTTTGAGGACATTTGTACCGCGGATTCCTCTGGTATGATTGTTCACTAAAGAATGAACTTGACAATGTTGTGTCACTGGGGGTGTACGATGACATGTTCCGCCGAGGCAGAGAAGAGTTTTTCACAGCCTGTTAAATTTGACAGTGTACTGTGAAAGAAGCATGCCTGAGTTTATTGGTCATGGTGAACGTGCCACCACCAAAAGTTTAGGAAGGCTAATAAGGGGCTATTTTTGGAATGCTGACATAGATCTCTTGCTGTTCATTTCTTGTGCAGTGGTTAGAGCATTCTGAGCCATGCTGCTCATGCAGGCAGTAAAGGTTCGAGTCCAGCTCATATACTTTCCTTTCCTCTCTCTACTCTTCCAGTCAACTAAGTGCTAAGAGAAAAGAATAAGTTCTGTTCTATTCAGTGTTGCTTGCCTTGTATTTAAACATCTTCTAACCAGAGTAATAAGTGCTGTTGCTGCCCTGGACTGAAAATCACCTTGTACACTGATGGTGGATAAGACCATAGTAGTAATATGTTCTGGTCATGTTTTCTTTTTTTTTTTGGTTACACTTTATTTTACAGTGTCCTTGTTACACGTTACATGTAGTTACTACAGTAATAACTATAAATTATGCATAATTACATGCAACTAACCATACAACAAACCTAATCCTAACTATAGTAAGTACATGTAGTTAATTAATACTACTCAGTGCGATTATAATTACACAGTAACAAGGACACCTTATGTGTAACCCACTATTTTAAGGTGTTCTTGTTACCATGTAATTATACATTTAAGCACTGAGTAATATTAATTAACTACTTTACATTTGATTAGGTTTTTTGTAGGGTTAGTTGCATGTTATTATGCATAATATATAGTTATTACTGTAACAAGGATACTGTAAAATAAAGTGTTACCAAATAGTATAACTGTTTTTTAAATATTTCTATTTGTTTCAGGTTTAGTAATTTTAGTTCTTTAGTACATTTTTCATCTAATATTTCTATTTTATTTTGTTTAAGTTTTGTTTCAATTTTCAAAAACAATTAATAGTTTTAGTTATAATAACACGTTTCCATGAAACTCAAACCTTATATTGTCTTCTGAAGCTGTATGATATTTGTGTCAGGAACAGACTTAATTCACTGGAAAATCTTGCTCTCCACCATTCTGAAATGTTATTCATGTCAAACTTTCATGTTGAAATGTTAAAGTTCTTGTTTATATGTCTTTTTACTGTATGACTATTTACTGCCTAGACTTACTATTCATTTACTTTTCTATAGAGAGGCAAAAGGGAACAGCGTTTACAGAGAACTGTGCTAACATCTGTTCAAACCTCTGTGTTCCGTGAAGGACATCTTCACTTGGCTTGATGATTACTAGCACACCTGAAGCATGACTATGCCTGTTCTTTTAACTGCATATATAAGCCTTGAGTCCACAGAGAGTCACTGAGGCAATGTGACTTAATATAGATTTTTTTTTAAAAACATAATGGAAATGATGATAGGCAGATAAGTGACTTGAATTATCCTCATATAGGAGCATATTAACTCACTGGGGGGTGTCTCCTTAGTCATCAAATTACCACTCCCTCTCTTTCAGCCAAAGAAACGGCATGAAGAAAAAATGAATAACTGAATCGATGACAGCAGGCATATTATGTGTGTTATTTCACAGTGCTTTCACCCTTAGAAGCCCCCCTGTCTCTGTCTTATTACACCTGATGACAGTGAGATGTTTTAATGCCCTAGTTAAAACAGTGAACGACCCTGTGTAATTGAAATCAATAGTTTCTGCAGCAGTTTGTGCTTAGCACCACACTTTGTGTTAAATAATATGAGTGGGCTTGGCCAGACTTCAGCGCTGCCAGTGCCACACATTCTGCACTCTTGCGGGAAAGTCATCAGAATTCCTCAAACTTGGTGTATTCCTATAGAATGTTGCTCTTACGGCTACAGTACACACAGCAGGGAAGTGCCAAATTAAACATGATTAATATTGGATTGCTCATTTTGTTTTTCTACTCTTGTCATTTCCCCCCATTTCCCTCATCTCCTGACTTTTTCTTTTTCTCTAATGCAGCCACAACCAGAGGACGACCACGTTCAGGCATCCTGTGACGGGACATATCTCCTCAGAAAACACTGACTTCCTTTTACAGGACCAGTGAGTGCTTCTTTTCCTTTAATTTGCATGAAATGTACTTTAGGAAGCACACTCCATGTTTTATCTGAGGGCATGTGTTCAATGCAGGTTGTTTGTATGTTTAACCATGTTTAAGAAGATCTAAAGGGGCTTTGGTTAAATGAATAGCTGCAAGAGTTTTGAATTGTTCTTTAACATATGCGTGAGTAATGGGATGTATAGTAATGATCCATGAGCCACTGATATCATATGCCTGTGCTGGAATCTGCAAATCAGCTGGAAATGTCCGGAGATAATGGTGACCATTGCTGGTGTTGCATTTTCTAGCTTGGAGCTACATTACTGAATTTGATTTAAATTGAAGATCATCCGGTAATCTGTGCAAAGCAGGTACATACAGTGTTGAGGAAGATAATTTGAAACTCTACCTACACAATATAATATTAAAAGAAATTAGTGAACTGCATTTTGCTATTTCCAACTAAATTCCTTGGGGGAAAAAAGTTTTCAGATTGAATTGCTTGTTATGATTGGGAGTCATACAAAGACTGTACAGTAAGTAGACAACATGTTTTTTGTTGTGTTCTTCTCGAAGGTAAAACACAACACTAGTGTTGTCTTGCATTGTAAATAAATGACTCTTATGAAGAGATTATTTTAATCAATCGATCAATAGACTTACAAATTAGTTTCAAACATAGGCTGCATCTGAAAATGCATATTTCCATACTACATAGTAGGTCAGAAACAGTATGTGAAAAGAATATACGAATACATGTGTATTAGCAAAAAGTACCCAGATGGCGAGATTGTGAAGTGCGCATCCAATGGACAACTACCGTAACGATCCTATGAGCCCACAGGAGAGGATTAAAGCGACACAACTAATGCTGGTAGGTCACGTGACAATGACAACATTACGAATGTAGTACTTACAGATTACATTCATACTATATAGCCATGAAGGAAGTACTGATTCAAAAAGAGAATGTATCCAGAGGGCTTGCAATTTCGGATTCAGCCTTAGTTACCGGTTTAAATCAATCAAGTGACTCATTCAGAGTGGTTCTTCTTGACTTACTCACTGAACCACAAATACTTTAATGTCCAACTCACAATGAACTGAGAACCAGGGGAATGTTCATGAAATCAATAAGAATAAGTCTTGTGTTAAGTGTTGTTGATTTAGTCATTATCAACAATTATAGTTAGTCATAGTACAATAGTATTAAGAATTGCTAATTTTCTTTACTATTCCATTAAAATGTGCACCACTGCACCTGTTCCTCTCCTCCTCCTCTCCATTAATTTCTATGTCTTCCCATATGCCAGTAAGCTGAGCTGGGATTTCTACCTCATCAGTGCTGTGAGGGTAAAGAGAGCTCAGATTTACATGCCCCGCTGAGACTAACTCGCTAACGCACGAGGAAAGAACGGGCTAAGGGTTTGCTGTTTATTTTGAGTGTTCTGCTGCCTGCTGAAGCAAACCCAGGTGAAAACTGTTACGAAGTTCAGCCGCCTGCCTCGATTTCCCTGTTATCACTCCATGTGCTCCATATAGAGGTGGGCTCATGGATTCAGAATGTTGGGCTCTTGTAGGAATATCGCACACAGCCGTCAAGACAATTTCTCATGCAGATGACAGGTAAGTAAATGTTGCTGCCAAGGTTGATTGATGCTTCTCATTAGGGGCACAGTGTGTGCAGGACCTGTGCCAGGTTCAGGCTCCGATTAACCACCATCGGGAAAAGCCAGAAGAGTCACTTGACTAGTTATTAGTTTACCAGATTACAAACCTCTTGTTTGAGTGCCCAAGAGATAAAGATCATGGCCACATGTGTTAAAGAGTAAGAGAGGAAGTTTGTCACTTGCAGCTTTGTCGATAAGGCAGTAAGACTTGTAATGTAGTGTCAGCTCTCATGCCTGTGGTTTGTAGAAGTGAGAGATAGTGAAGTTACAGGACATAACTGGAATACTTACCACTCCTGGCTGCTCATAAGAGCTATTTTAAGCACAAGTCCGGCCTCATTTGGTCATCTCTCCCCATCAACCCAGCCTTTTCCTTTAGGAATCTAACAGTGGAAACTAACCTCACCCTAACAGCTGTGATAAGTGCTGATCTGTGGGAAAAGCCTTGTGAAATATGTCAGGAGACATATCAAAATCTTTTATCTAAATATGTAGTATTCTGATATTTCAGTTCATCTGTGTGCCCTTAATAGCGCTGCATACTCCCACCCCTCCTCAGTGAAGGGCTAAAATGTGTGCTGCGATCCCATTGGTGGGGATTTCAGTGGAAATGTGTGCAGTGATAGAAGTGTTCTGATCCCCTGGTAGTGCAGTACTATTGATCTGAATGGCTAATCTGAGCACAGTGCATATCTCGACAACACTAAAGCATGGTGCATTGTCTGCCACAAAGGCTGACTGCTTTTTTTGTATGCATTATTCATTCCTTTAATGACCAAACTGCACTACACTTTTATTGACATAATTAACAAACATGATTAGGACATTATATAATGCTTAACAGATCCTCAGTTAAAAGGTAAGTTCAGCCAAAAATTATAATTCTGTCATCATTTACTCACCCTCATGTCGTTCCAAACCCATAAGACTTTAGTTTATCTTCGGAACACAAATGACGATCTTTTTAATGAAATCTGAGAGCTTTCTGTCCCTCTATTGACAGCCTAACTAACTACCACTTTAAAGTCCCAGAAAAGTAGTAAAGACATCATAAAAGTAATCCATGTTTAGCCTCAATTTTATGAATCGACCCGAGTGCTTTGTTTGCACAAAAAACCATAATTTACCACTTTATTTAACAAAAAATATTAATCTCCAACGCGCGTTCACGAGAGCACCATTACGCATGCATGTTGTGTAGACGCGAGAGCAGACGTTGTTGCGTGAACGTGCGCTGGAGATTAATATTTTGGAAAAAGTTAATTTCATTTTTGAAATTGTCTTAAATATTCATCTTTAAATGTGTCAGTTAAGCCTTTTGTAGTGTTTGTTAATGACTTATTGAACAAAAAACCATGCTGCTATATTATCATTGTCATCATATTGAATGATACGACTTTATAGTAAATATTATTAATTATAATTAATTTTCAGTTTTGTTGGCTGATAATATTTTTTGAATAATGTCATCACTACCAAAAATTACTGTTAAATACCATGATTTCTGAATTTGTTCATCATTCAGTACCTTAGTACCCATCAAAGTACTGCTGTATGTGATTCCATCAATCATGGTTCTTTTGGTAGCAGTCTAACAAAAACTGCTTTGTCATTGTGTAAATAAAGTGGAGCTTATTATTATATACTGCTGTATGCTATGTATTATATAACTTAACCAGGTTAGTGGGTCTGAAGCTCCCCCACTGTGGAGCTCTGAGCATTTGGGAGCAGATGTGGTCTCTTTTTTTTTAGCCTGAGTTCTTGCTGGCCTTCAGCCGGGATCTTTCTCATCTCTCCAGCATGAAATCCAGGCCCTCTGCGCCCATCCATTCAAAAGACAGTGCAGGTAAATAATATGAAAGCCTAGATAAAACACTAGTAAGTCCCAGGGTGCAAAGAATCTTGAGAAATTTTGGTTGGGAGCCAGTTTGTGAAGTGAAAAATGAGGGTGAGAAAGACAGCAGTGCTGTTCCAGTCTGCAGCACTTTCCATGACAATGCTGCTGTAGCTTCCTGCTGTTTTGATGTTGTACACGGGCCACAAACACCTCCTGACTCTTTCACACTACAGGAACTCCTCACATTCCTCAGGAAGAAAAGCTGTTTATGGTTTTATTGAGGGGGATGTCTGTGTGCGCATGTTTCAGATTTTGGACAGGGTTATTGTGTTTTACCGAAAGCTCCAGCAGCCATGAAAAGCGTGGAGTCAGCCTGACATGCGGCTTGGAAATCTGCTGGCTTTGGTGAGTTTTAGCAGAATAATCAAAAAATTTTTGGGGGTTTGATAACCATGTTAAGTTGCATCATGCATTTCATCATGCATTTTCTCGCTGGTTTATTTTCCATTATCAGCACTCGTATTTGTAGCTTGGTACCAACAAAAACTGTTAAAACCTCAGATTCAAGTTTGATGTGATAGAAATATGTAATATATAATTTTAGTTTTTTTTTATGTTTATCGGGTTATAACAACACGCTTGCTTAAAAGCAGGCAACATAGTGGAAAAAACTCAAATAAAGTAAATGATAGTAATAATTATTAACAATAATTAAACAACAGAAATTAAAATTATGAATTCTGATACATAATATATAATATAACACAGACACATATATATACTGTGTGTGTGTATATATATATATATATATAATATAACACACACACACACATATATATATATATATATATATATATATATATATATATATATATATATATATATATATATATATATATATATATATATATATATAATCATTTAATAAATACTAAAAAAATTAATGTTTTTATCTACAAAATCAAAGTCGAATAGATTATATTCTGCCTGCTACAGCTCTATTGGGGTATTACACCTAAGTTTCTCCCCTCACTTTGGGTCAATTATGTCCCAAGTGTGTTATTTGATGCATGAAGTTGGTGATTTAAGAGCAGTACGTTTTCCCACTTATCTGCTCCTCTCAGCGTGTTCTAGATTCAACCCACTCATACATCAGAGTTCACTATATGTGTCCACACTTTCTATTAGATGTCAGAGATGGTGTGAGTTTCAGATGGTTCTCTAAAGGAGTGTGCCTGAGAGGCAGGGCTGTCACTAAGAGAGCTTTTTGTTGCCACGCTAAAGGCCTCTGAGAGTCTACTACATTTTATAGACTCCCATCATTTTATAGACTCCTATTATATTCTATGCTACAGTACCAGTAGATGTGTTTTTATTTCACCTACTTCAGGCCTTAGTAATGTTTAGCCAGTATTTTGACTGTCTGGTGCGCTTTTGCTATTTATTCTAGCTAAGAGCCGTCCAATTAGACAGGAAGAGACAGTCAGACCAGAATGAAAGATACCATGAATGAAACCTGTTTTGTTGTAAGTTTGAATATGAAGCTGAAACCAGAGCTAGAGCTTACACAGAATGGGTATCCCAGGTAGAAGAAGGGAAAACAAAGGAGATGTGAGCAGTCCGGTACCTTGTAAACAACTTTTATTCCAAGCAGTCTCAAAAAACCCTATGCACCCTTACTCCTTGAAGTTGTGTTGAGTCAGCCAATCAGATTGCACTCGGTTATTTCAGCCAGCACTTGAGATTTTTGTGTGCAATATACATCAAACAGACTATAGGCACTCTATATGTGGCTGTGCCTTCTGGCTTTGAGACTTAAGAATTTGTTCATAGTTTATACACTGTGGGATAAAAACACTGTTTACACAATAACAAAGACATTTTGCATGTTGATGGGAAGAGGCAACAGTGTACCCAATGAATAATAACTCCCTGGGTACCAAAATGATTTGTCATTTCCTTGAAGGAGATTTAGAAATGTGACGGATGTTTGGTTGAACTGTGGAGCTCATTGGTGGCTTTCGCTCTAGGTTATACCTTTCCCTGCAGTCTCTGAATCTGACACTTTTCTCTGACAGTGTTTGGGAGAAGTTTTTTATTTGTTGCCTGCAGCTTTGACAATTTGTTTCACCTTTCTTCTGTCCTCTATTCCCCCCTTCTCCCTAGTCTCTCCCACATCCCTTCTCTCTACTGACGTGCCCAAAATGTTACATTAGCATTACCTGAATCTCACTGCAGCTTTTTATGTACAGTAGTTGTCCTTATTAGGAAAGTGAAATGGAGCCAAATACTTTAAAGGAGCAGGCTGGCATTAAGACATTTGTATCACAGCAGTCGTGGCTCTGAGATTTCGCAAACGTTTGGTTACTCATTTATTATTAACCACATAATTAACAAGCCTTGCTTTTGAGATGACATACCTGAGTGTTTACACTCTCTTTACTGTAATTCCAGTGAAACTGACTCAGACTGTTTAGTGACCGTGGCCTGTGATGTGACTTCTGCAAATGCCCTGCATTCTTCAGCTGCTGTGCATTCCTCCAATCTTCTCATCCACAGAGCACCCACAAACAGATTAGCTAAATATGGGTTGTCTCATCCAAATCGGGCACTGTTATACTTCATATTAATCCTGTTGTGACTGTGGCGGAGGTAATGTTGATGGATGGAGAAGGGAAGCAGCTTGACATGTATAAGTGCGGAGTGTTTAAGTAGTGTATGAATGTGTCCCTGCATTGATGTTTACTCTGGTGCTTTACAAATGAATAGATGGATGGAATAAATTAGTTGTTAGATAGGTGGTAATGTAGCAACCCTCTACAATGCGAGTAAATCACTTTCATATGTGACTAAATCTTCACTCTGTGCGACTAAATATTGTCTATCATTAGCCATTGGCTAATAAATTCTTAGATTTTACTCACGTGTGTTTGTGTTAGAGGCTAAGTATAAGTTTAGCATATATATATTTTCACTCCCTAAACACTCTGACTGACTGTGCATTTGAGAGTGCGAGCGAGCGTGCAAGAGTCTTACATACCACCCAGAATCGACACTCTACATGTAAATTATATTCTTTGTTGTATTTTCCTGTCCAAATAACGGAGTTCATTTGCAATTATTCAGCTTTTAAGAACAAACAGAAGATATGCCGGTTTCTCCGGTAGTGGGCTAAGTGAGCTAATGCGCCCATAGAGCTAATGATAGATTAATAGAAGTAGATTGGTAAAAAGAAATGTAGAGACAAAGATAATTTCATATGTATGATAGGGAGATAGATAGGTAGGTAGATAGATCGATATTGAAAGGTAGATATAAATATGTAGATACAAAGATAAATATATGTAGATAAATGTATGGATTGATAGATGGATGGATAGACAAATCAATAATTGGATGTGTAGGTAAATTGACAGATATAGTTAAGTAGCTAGGTAGATACAGTGGCGAGGCCAGAGGGGTGTCCGGGGTGGCACTGGACATCTGATTGGCCAGTCCAAAATGTAATTACTACTGGCAGTTTAAGTTTTCATTTCATCTTATTTATTTTAGCCTTCACACACCCACCCAGTGAAAAACATTGCTGAGCAAAGATGACACAGACAACGCGCTGACAGACAAGACAGTGCATGTTACTTTTGATATAAAACAAAGTCTCAGCTTTCAAATTCTGTAAGTTTTACTTCAAAATTCAAACAATGAGAATATAAATAAAGTTTTGGCACTCTTTAATAATGTGCCAAAGCACACGTGAACCGATCATCTCTTTACTACTTGTTGCAGCACCAAATAAACAAGAATGAAATTCAGAAAGAATGTTGAAAGAAACTGTACAACTTGCTGAAATGAATCATGTCTCACGTAATCACTCAATGTTTCAACTGTGGAAAGACGTAAAAAAAAACCCAGCTTAAGAACAATGTCACGTAACGTCACATTTACTTTAGAAAAGCCATTCATTAAGTCAGTCCATAAACTCTGTATTAGAAAAAGTTACTTTAGAGAGGAGCATCTTGCAAACAAAAGATGCACTATATTATATTCATTATATTTTTACTCTTACAGTTTATAACTAAAAATATATTATTATAAAAAATGGTCTTGTATGCAGTTGTATACAATTAAGTTGTTAATTTTTACTTTTGATAACTAGGTATATAGATTAGATATAGTTTACAACATTAGTTGAGTGATTTTCCTTGAGAAAAAGTAACATGTACTGTATACACATTATGTCCAAATAAACGATATTGAATCGTAAGTTTATGAATAAGTATTCCCCCACATAAATAATTTTCATTCCAAGCTGAAATCAAAAGTTGACAGCCCCGTTTGAAGTAAGTTTAAGCTTTAGGTTTCCTGAACAACTTTTATGAAATTCACTAAGTTAACATTAGATCTTTTGCTTAATGGTAAATCAGATAAGAGAATTAAGAGAGTTCCAGTAGCCTAACATTCATTACATTTACATCTGTGCTAGTAATACATGTAATTCGGTCACAGTGTCTTAAGTTACAGTATAGGGGTGTATAGCAAATGTGGGGAAATGTGAAGTAATCGTGCGATCATTCATCCATGCTTTTTGATGCCAGGTTAGGGTTATATAAATTAATTTTCTGTCATGGTCTATGGACCCTCTGAATTAGCGTTGGTCAGGTCACCCACTGGCCACCCCATGTATAAAACTTCTGCCACTGGTTAGATATAACTATGTAGATAAATAGATATGTATGATAGATAGATGGATGGATGGATTTTGTTAATGTCTTGTAATTGTTACTATGTCCAGGTCACCTGACACTACTATCACCAGAGCTGCGTCTGCTGAGTGGTGATATTGTTGGTTTACTCTTCATGTCCTGGTCTGTGAGTAGTTTGCCTTTAGGGAATGTGTTTGACAACATGTTACTTGAGTGTTCAAAAGGGAGTGTGCTTCTGAGTCTCTTACTCTCTTGTATACTTGTGTCCCTGGGCTCTGCTTTACTTTGTTTCTTATTAAACACACAAATCTTTATTTCACTCTTAATTTCATAGTGAATTAGTAACCACACCTTATAGTTGGTGTCAGAGATCATGTCTTTCTTCTACTATTGTAGGGCAAATTTACGCATGTCCAAGCCACCACCAGAGCTGAGGCCTCCCAGCATGGTCAGCGAGTCCTCTGTCGCCATCTCCTCTTCCCCAGCGGACACCACCTCAGGATCCAGGGTGAGAAGCCCAGCTTTGTTCAGTTCTGATCTGAGACTGGTTTAATGTTTTCTGTCATGGTGCTGATTCTCAATAAAGGGAAATGTTCATGCAGTGCAGAGCACTTCAGGTGCATGAAAGTGCAAGGCTGACTAATAGTCTAGAGAGCCTCACTGTTTCGTGTGTGTGAACTGTGCATGTGTGTGTATCTCATATGAAATCATATTGAAAACTGATAATGTTTTATAGATATTTGGGAAGAGTAAATTGGCCTCATCTATTTTTGCTATATTTCTTCAATTTTGACAAATGACCCAAGCAGTAGGTGGAATGGGTAACTGATTTTTCTAGCCGCAGAGAAGCTGGACTTAATCTCCTGTGTGGGTCGCTGCATTTTGCAGAGGTCATGAGGTAATACTGCATAGAACATCTGGAGGGTATTGAGAAATTTACAGAAAGTTTCTCGCAAATCAAATCTGAGTCTGTGAGGCACAGTCACATACATAATAAACGTAAACTAATATATATATATATATATATATATATTAGTTTACTTTTAGCAAAATATATATATACTGCATACAGTATTGTGTTTGTGTGTGTGTGTGTATATATATATATATATATATATATATATATATATATATATATATATACATACACTCACCGGCCACTTTATTAGGTACACCTGTCCAACTGCTCGTTAACACTTAATTTCTAAGCAGCCAATCACATGGCGGCAACTACGTGCATTTAGGCATGTAGACATGGTCAAGACAATCTCCTGCAGTTCAAACCGAGCATCAGTATGGGGAAGAAAGGTGATTTGAGTGACTTTGAACGTGGCATGATTGTTGGTGCCAGAAGGGCTGGTCTGAGTATTTCAGAAACTGCTAATTTACTGGGATTTTCACGCACAACCATCTCTAGGGTTTACAGAGAATGGTCCGAAAAAGAAAAAACATCCAGTGAGCGGCAGTTCTGTGGGCGGAAATGCCTTGTTGATGCCAGAGGTCAGAGGAGAATGGCCAGACTGGTTCGAGCTGATAGAAGGGCAACAGTGACTGAAATAACCACTCGTTACAACCGAGGTATGCAGCAAAGCATTTGTGAAGCCACAACACGCACAACCTTGAGGCGGATGGGCTACAACAGCAGAAGACTCCACCGGGTACCACTCATCTCCACTACAAATAGGAAAAAGAGGCTACAATTTGCAAGAGCTCACCAAAATTGAACAGTTGAAGACTGGAAAAATGTTGCCTGGTCTGATGAGTCTCGATTTCTGTTGAGACATTCAGATGTTAGAGTCAGAATTTGGCGTAAACAGAATGAGAACATGGAACCATCATGCCTTGTTACCACTGTGCAGGCTGGTGGTGGTGGTGTAATGGTGTGGGGGATGTTTTCCTGGCACACTTTAGGCCCCTTAGTGCCAATTGGGCATCGTTTAAATGCCACGGCCTACCTGAGCATTGTTTCTGACCATGTCCATCCCTTTATGGCCACCATGTACCCATCCTCTGATGGCTACTTCCACCATGTCACAAAGCTCTAATCATTTCAAATTGGTTTCTTGAACATGACAATGAGTTCACTGTACTAAAATGGCCTCCACAGTCACCAGATCTCAACCCAATAGAGCATCTTTGGGATGTGGTGGAACGGGAGATTCGCATCATGGATGTGCAGCCGACAAATCTGCGGCAACTGTGTGATGCCATCATGTCAATATGGACCAAACTCCCTGAGGAATGCTTCCAGCACCTTGTTGAATCTATGCCACGAAGAATTGAGGCAGTTCTGAAGGCAAAAGGGGGTCCAACCCGTTACTAGCATGGGGTACCTAATAAAGTGGCCGGTGAGTGTATATATATATACCAGTGGTGGGCCGTCAGGGCCAGCAAGGCCTTCTCTGCTGGCCTAAACACTATCAGAATCACTGACTTGCACTTTAATATATTTTTTCCATGAATGAGTATTAAATTATTCCCAATAGTTCATTCTCTTAATTTCATAGCTTTTCTCTTGGTTGCGCTGCTTCCAGTAGTGTATGTTTATTTTAGCGCTTTTATCCAATCATATTTCAGCCATCATGCGTTGCCAGGGTCAAAGAAATCTGCCTTCAGGCCTTCAGAATCGACAGTGCGGGCGCCTGTAGCTTACAATGAATGGCAATGAAACAGTTGCTTTAACCAATCAGATAAGCAGTCAGATTTAATCAGCCAATCAGATTTCGCTTTGACTCCAGCGGGGCCATCTAGCAGGCATACAATAACGTCGGCATTTTCACGTTCTTTGATTGGATGCTCAGAGCGCGTACTATTACTGGTAGTCAGTATCCGCATCTGTAGCGAACTGCAAACTAAAATATATTCCTGTAGATTTAATAGTTTTTCAACCCACAAATTAATGTTTCTTTCCCTCCTCGACCCCCAGCAGGTTCAAACCTACCGGAAAAAATCCCGTATTCAGCCTGAGCTTAACGCAGAGTCACGGAACTCGATTCGATCTGTCCGGGTAAAAACTGACTAATGTAAGTTATGCCACGAATGATTTTGAAGGCAAAAGTCCCGCTGATCTCATTGCTTTCGTTCAAAACTCTGTGTGAGAGCATGGGACAGTCCGACAGCGGTACACATCGTCAGGTTATGCGGTGACTGTGTCCACTGCTTCTGTCGAGCAGACACTCTCTAAAGCGAATTAAAACTTATGCTAAAAATATGACGGGACTCGACTTTCAGCATTAGACTCGTTATTGTTGGAACTGAAACGCACAGATAACCTGTACAACAGAGTAATTCAAGTCTTCTTGAGGAAAGAAATAAGGATGGATTTTGTGTAAAAAATAATCAGTAGTTTTGGTGAGTATAATGCTTTTTTTCCCGTGGTGAATATGATTTTCTTCTTAATTTTTCTTTTAAATTTATTATCAAAGCTTAATTTTTTTCAAACATCCATACTATTGTAACGTCTGAAAAGGGACTATTGTAACCCTTGAACGACAAGATAAGGGAGGCTCCGTTTCTGAACTTATAATCGGAACGCAAGAACAACTGTACACAAACGCACCAGCCGAACTCACGCGCTCGTTTCTCTCTACCGGCCTTTTCCGAACTCACAGCATTACCCTATAACTGCCGGTGCAAAATAAAAACAACAATTATAGAGAGTCTTTGCGCTGCTACACTATTAAAAGTTATTAATTCAGGTAGGACAGAGGCCTAGGTGTGAAATGCACGGCCCGCCACTGATATATACAGTATATATATATTACTGTATACAATATTTTGTATATATATATATATATATATATGTATATGTGTGTGTAGTATTTATATTATAGTTATATATTTTGGTTTTACATATAATTTAATAATGGTAATTTTCATAATTTGCTATAATATCTTTTATGAATAATATTATAATGGTTAGAACTCATTTTGCATACACACCCCATATTTGGTTCAGGGCTAAACGTCAGGGCAATCTCTAGGCAGGCCTTGACCCGTTGGTCTCATATCAGCTCAGTAAAAGCCTCTGTTTCCTCAGATCTGCTCTGGAAGTGGAAATGTAGAGACGAATGTATTTCTCCCTATTAGAGGGTGTTTTTGACACATTGAAGTTTTAGTGGCCTGGCTTGACACACATTGGCTGTGTCACTGTGTGGTAGAGAGTCTGATGCTGGCCTGTCAATGACAGCACTGTGTCAGCATCATATGAGCTTTCACAAACCAATCGATCAATCCCAGAGGCCCTTGTCTCTGGACACACACTTTACTGGGACAAGAATCAGGCTCCCAGTGGGCATCAGTCATTATCCAGCATTGGTTCTTTTTAACAAAGCATCTTATCACATTGTTGTGTATTCTAAACAGTTAATGAAATGTCTTTCATTCTATTCTTAAAGGTACACAATGTAAATTTTTGCCCTCTAGCGGTCAAACAAAACTGCATGCGTTTTGCGTAAGAACATTGTTTGGGTTGTGCTTAGACTCTGCGTGACTGTGCGGATGAATATGGTGCTTTCTCATAACTAAAAAAAGAGAGCGATTATCCAACTGCTCATAAAACATTTACTAGATTTAAGAGATATAACCAGTTTAGATCTCTTTTTGCCAGCAGAGTCAGACTCTCCACTGCTCTGCTTCTTCTTTTTTTTTTTAAACGGGTGATTCCCCTTAGGGTAAAGATTGAGCATGCTCCATGTCAACCTTTCTCGCTACTAACCTATGCCACTCCCACACCATACATGTGTAAAAGTAGCTGGAGGAAGTCTTTTTATGGATATGACGGGACACACATGGGCAAGTGACATGTACAATGTCCTGTGAAAACAATCCTGACAGGTCTAAAATATGTTTTGGATAGATTTTTGGGACACCATCAAGGATTGATGATGTATTGACTCGTTATTTAAATTTGGTTAATTTTTAACAAAAAAAAAAAGTTACATGGTGTGCCTTTAAGTAACACAGGTGTGGACCCAGGGCTGTCCACAGGGACCAGAATTCATTAAAATTATTCTTAAAATCAGCATCCTTAGAAACGCTTTCAACAACTTAATATAAATTATATATATTCAAACCGTGTTTTTGAGACTGTCTTTGATTCACCGCAGTTTTAAGGAGAAAAGACTCAGAAATGATGTAGACTTTGCACATGGTTTGTCTTAAATCATATTAAAAACACCACATAGACATATAAACAACATTAAAAATTGACTTTCACCACAGGGGGTCTTTAATAAATGCAAAGCTGATTGTAAATGTTCTGTATTATTCTCTGTGAACTTCATATGGATCAAGATTAATAAATGCAACAAACAAAAATGCAATTTTAATTCAATCAAATGATACAAGTGTTTTTTTTCTTTTAAATACGTCAGAATTTGAAACCCAGTGGGAAGGTGCATTGCTTTGGCAAGCGTGACCATTCCATCAAAAGGAACCCCAATGTCCCAGTGGTGGTGAGAGGATGGCTCTACAAACAGGTGCGGCCCTGAAAAGTGAAACCCTGGTGTGAGTGATTTAAAGAGTCTGATTTTCATCTGAACTGAATGGTGTTCGGATGTTAGATTAGATCTTAATTAGACCTTATGATGAACTAAGACCCCACAGGCAATAAACTGATTAACTGAGCATGTTATTCAACATAGAATATTTTATAAATATTCAATATGAACAGAGGGGCCTCTAATTAAACGCTAATAACAATATTTACATTGGTTGGTACTGATAGATGATTATCTTTTTTTAATTTTAAAAGATAATATGAAGATATATATATAACATGAAACAATAAATTCATGTTGATTATTAATAAAAAAAATTAGCGTTCTTAAATTTGCTTCTAAATATAGTTTTTGTAGGGTATTCATTTTTTATGTGTACATTTTCATTTCTTACACGCACAATACATATGAAAATGTTATTGTAGGCTGAATTGTTATTGTTCTTCCATCCTCAGGACAGCTCAGGCATGAGACTGTGGAAGAGGAAATGGTTTGTGTTGTCTGATTACTGCTTGTTTTATTATAAAGGTGAGTTATAATAGAGTTATTCAACATAAAAAAGAGTTATAATTAGTTTGCTGCAATTATCTCGAACGGTCTCTAATTTTATTGCACCACAATCACATTTTCTGTAACGCATTATGAGAGTTCCTATAATTTAATAAGAAATAGCAGGTTTCTCATTTCCTGTTTTTATCCCTATTGCTTACACAGATCATATTGAATTATATTATTTTAACAGTTCAAATGAAGTAATACTTCATGTGAGCATTTTTAATCATTTTGGTGGGCAAGGTGGATTATCACTTACTTGCTGTCATATGCGTTTCTTTAAGAGTGTTGCTAACAAACCAATTACACCGTTGTTCAATTATAATCTAAGACTTTTCAACTAACATCTCTACTTTGCTAACAGATAGTCGAGAGGAGACTGTTCTGGGCAGCATTCCTCTTCCCAGCTATGTCGTTTCTCCCGTGGGACCCGAGGACCACATCAGCCGCAAGTACACCTTTAAGGTAAGAGTGTTATAATGATCTGCACTGTAATGCTACTCGGTTCCTGCGTGTAGGCTCACCTTCATTGACTAAGCCCTCAGGAAGTCTGTGTCATGTGGCTTATTATCAGTGGTGCTGTGTGGGCAGCAGTCAATGATGACTGATTAATGTGGCAGTTGTTTGACTCCTCTCTCTGCCCTCTTCTGACCACACAGATCAGTTACTGCTGCCCTCACAACCTCATAACAGGCTCAACTAAATCTCTGCTTGTTTTCACTAATAGCATCGTGTTCCTCTACTGAGTTCCAAAAATATTCTTTTCAAGGAGACAAAAATACCTGAGAATTTTTGTTGGTTACAAAGGGAATAATTATTTTTAAAAATGATATTTTTGCTTCTAAAAATTGTTAGAACGAGTCACATTCAAAGTGTCTGTTGAAAAGCTTATCATTAAATCGCCATTAAAATGCTTATCAGCAATCAACAGCCTACTGTTAAATTAATTAACTATATTGCTTACCACAATAATTAAAAATTATTTGTATTTTTAATTATTATATTAAATACTGTAATATTTGATTATTAAATGTATTTATGTTAATAATGAAAAATATTTATAATTTAATTATTGAATTTAATAATTGGTGTTTTTTTTAATCAAATTGCTGATACCACCATTTTTTTTTTTATCTTTGTAATAAGCTCTAACAGCATGCTTTAACTGTAAAACTGTATCTTGCAGCCCTCTCGTTAAACTTGTTTTAGCCCATCTCTTTTTGACCGGTATTGTTCCCCTCAATGTCTGTCAGCACAATGCTGTCATTACAGAAGCTGCTGTTTGTTCACAGGAATTCACACTGAGCTTCCACCCAACTCGCTCAACAAGTTTTCAACAGCCCTCTTCTCTTCTCATCATTATCTAAACCCTTCTCTGAGTGAGGCCTTTTGATGGCAAGCTTCCATTGAGCCTCACAAACCTCCTCCCACTGTTTACTGCGGTTCGGCGGACAGTGAAATAATATCCCAGAAGGCTTAGTTCTTACCATTTCTATTACACTTACTGCACTGGAAAAATCAATTCTGGCTTAAACCTTTTGTACCATGGAGGTGGAAAAAATCTGCAGCTTTATTCTATAATTCACTGATAACTTACTAAGACTTTGAAATTTGTATCAAGCCATTTGCATTTTGTGTGCGATTTATCCCAGTCTCCTCCTGAAGCAAAGCTCTTCTGAAGAACAATACTCCAGGAATGTTTCATCCCATCACTGCAGCTCGTTCATCGCTCAGTCATCCTTCCCTATGGGTACGCGATGCATCGTTCAAACTCCCTTTCCCTGCTCGTATTCCCCAGTGCTGGAATTTATTTGACTATTGTGCCAGCAGGGAGATTAATTATACATCTACTCTATTTGGAATATCTTACTTGCCCTAAAGTCTGTAATGTACCAGAGCAAGGTGAGGGGTCTTGTTCTCGCATTGGTGCTCTGGGTGTTAATTAGCAAGTTGTTAGTCAGGAGATCTCCATCAGTGAAACTAGCCAGCAGCTATTTGAACATCTGCCTGCTTTATTTTCATGCGAATTAGACCCCAAGGTATGCTGTTTGTATAATGTTTTTACTCTTACTGGCTTCTTAGTCAGCAGTGAAGAGTCTTGCATGTTTATTTTCTGTAAGATTTCTTTAGTAGTAAGTTCTGTAGTAAGGGTAGTTTTTTATTTTATTAAATACACCGCATATCTGCGGATGGAACCGAGATTACAGAACAAATGACTCTTGTCAAGTCACCTTTATTTATATAGCGCTTTTTACAATACAGATTGTATCAAAGCAGCTTCACAGTGATAACATGAAAATAATACAACAAAGTTTGTTTCTATGAGCATGAGCAGTTTTTTAGAGAATCAAAAACATAATTGTGTATTTTTAATAGATAATAAATAATCAAATATATACACAGCCCCGCACATGACATGCAGAAAAAATAGGCTATATTATAGCCACGAATTAATAATTGGTTCTCTCGTTTTAGTAAATTGTGGCCACAATATTGTGAATTCGTCCCCACAACTTATTGACACATTGAACTAATTCGTTCCATCGTTTCGATTTAACTAAAACAAAGGAATTAATTATTACAACGTGGCCACGATTTAGTAAAATGAGGGAACAAACTGTTATATCATGCACAACTACAAATTAGTTAAATGTGCTGACGTATTAGTAAGTCATAGGAACGAATTGTGAATTCACGATATACATATCTTTTTTCCTGTCATGTGCGGGGTTCCGAAAATATATTACCACTTTTTTTATTTGTTATTGATTAACACCTAGATAAGGCCAATTGGATTGCATGTATGCCATCTCTAAAAATACAGAAAATTCTGTGTAAGAATTGCCAGAATTGTTAACATTTATTTATTATAGAAATGATCTAATCATTTGGTGATAGAATTGCATCCCCCCCCCCCCCCCCCCCCCCCCCCCCAAAAAAAAAAATTATTCCTTACAAGCACTAAAATAATTGGTAATGGAGCTTTTAAGGAACTGGAATTGTTAGAGTAATAAGAACTGGAATTGTTTAATTCTTTAAGATTCCCATCCCTGATCTGTGGCCATTTGAGAATATAAAAGATGGCATGAAGTCATGAAAGGTTGTAAATTTCGTTCAGCAAATGATATGGCATAAATTTGAATTCAAGTACGCATGGGAAAACTCCTGATGCTCAGCTTCAATTGATTCAGTTGATTCATTTATTCAGCTACAGTAGTTAAATGTTTTGATGTTTATTAATGATCTTTTCCTGTTCTCTGGAGTGTTGAACTTTTGTTCTCCCAGTGGCGTAATTCTGCTTAGCTTTGCTGCCTCTAATGTTAATTGCATTTCAGCTCACCCTGCTTACCGTATCTGACGATATTTCACAACCAGGGACATTTCAACACATCTTCTAGTTTTTGTCAACATTTTTCACATAGGCCGTGATCCACCTCCCTCTGTTTTTTTGCACAACTCACTCTGATTCTCTCATTCCAATTGCCTATTGCTTCCTGTTGTGACCTGGTGCATTATGGGAGCTGAACCGGGTGCATCTGGTGGAAGGGCCGTCTCCTGAGTCAGCCTCTTGCATGAATAGGTATTTTAATTTCCATTCATTACTATCAGCGGATCTCCACTCCATCACCATCCCGTGTATGGCATTCTCCTAGGCAGATGAAATATGCACATAGCCCATGTGCATTGCTGCGTTTCCGCATGCATGCGACTCATCCCGCTTCCTCAGGAACAGGCAATGCCAGATCGACAATCCAATCTCCCTGATGTGAATATTGGAAATGCAGACATGTCCTTATGAATGTGTGAATCTTATATTAAAGATGAGGACTGTTGCAGACTGGCATTGCTCTTTTCCTCTTATCACTTCATCACTTGCATCAGTAGTTCCAGTGTTGGTTATTATCCACACATTTCTCCACTCTCATCGGCTGCTCAATTGTCATCAGTACTCTGAACTCGAATATGAACTGTTGTCTGTTGTTAAATTGTAATTGTATTTAGATTAAGATTTTTAACATATACAAATATTTAGATACAGTACGCTACCGTTCAAATGTTTGGGATTGGTAGGATTGTTTAAAGTCACCTATGGAAGTAAAATAATGCCAAATGTTTTTGAAACATAAAGCCTGTTGAATTGTACTACTTGAAAAAAATATGCATTGCATTAACCCTGCTTGTATTTTTAGGGCTTGCATTTTTATGGGCTGAAATTTAGCATGGTTGAATATTTAAGCTGTGAATATTTAAATTCAAAACATTTCAAACACATTTTCATTAGTAAAATTTCAATAATCCATATTCACCTTTCATATTTCACTTCCAAAATATTCAAACTGATTAAAAATACAACCTATAATATTCAACAGGCGGTTTTCAGTTCAATTTATTTCGCTTTGCAAATTCGCTTCCACAAATTCAGTGGTTCAAATTCGACAGTAAATTCAACGTTGACATCCAGGAACTGCAGGAAAAGCAGTAGATTACCGAGCATAATCTCCATCTGCTGTTAGTCAACCTCACCAGAAGGGGGTCCAAGCGCGTGTTGTTGACGTAGACCAGAGCAACAGTTAGAGCAAGCCATTCATTCATAAAAACTCATTTACAACAATGTAAGTGTATCTGTGATTATTATGACGTCTGTTTTATGTGAAATTCAGTGTCTTCACGATTACTTTTCCCGTGTAGCCTTCCTGTGTTCTCTACCGTGAACAAGATTATAATGTTATTCCCCCGAAGCGGATGTACAGATCCAATGTTACAATTGAGTTTGACATATTTCTCTTGGTTGTTTAGTTGCCTTAACTACTAGGGTTTCCCTCAAGTCAGGATTCCCCTGCTGGACATATAAAACGCTTAACGTAGCATAATGGACTAATTAAGTGATATAAAAGACCAAACTCGCAGGCAAGCAGAAGGACTCAGAATATGAACTTAATGCGCAAAGTTTAATGCTCAGCGTTTCTCAGTGATACTGGCATAAAGTTGGCTTGACATTGGACATTCGCACATTTAGGGACCGTCTCTAAAGTTACATACGACATTGGTATACACGTTTCTAACTTCAATAGCATTTGAAGAAAACAACTTACAGTCATAAAACCAACTGTAAAGTGTTCATGTAGGTGTCAGGCATAATGTGCAATTTATACAAATAAATTGAAGTTTGCTATTGAAGTTAGAAACGTTTAGGCCTATAGGACTACCAATGTTACTTTAGAGACGGTCCCTAAATGTGCGAACGCCAAGCCAATTTTATATTTAGTCATTTAGCAGACGCTTTTATCCAAAGCGACTTACAGTTAAACTAACAATATAGGTCAACAATATGAAAGTGCTATGACCCTTCCCAGTTTAATCTAATGCAGTACATATATGTAGGCATACTTCCCCAATAAGGTGCGAGTTTGGTCTTTTATATCACTGTATTAGTCCATTAAGCTACGTTAAGCGCTTTGTCCCGA